TTTCCCAAAAGGGTAATTTACCTTACTTCTAAAATATAAATATGTCTGGGTATTATATATGGCAAATATCCTAGGTATTTTATAAACCTTATATCTCTCTTATACATAATATTCCTACTGTATCCTCTGTATAATATACCCCAGGTATAGCCTTTAACTTCCTAAAATTTATATCATACCCAGGGTATTATGACCTCTGTTATACGGTATTCTATTTAGGAAATATATAGCAAATATGTTATAAAAATCACATGGCCAGTTATATATTAACAATTTATTAAATCAGGTAAATATTGACTGTGCAATATTATTGTTTTCCCTCAGTATATCTGAGTTAATATGATGGTTAAATTATTTTTCAGATTCATTATTGATATATATCATAAAAAATTTGTATTACTCTTCCAATTTCCTACCATTTTTATGATACTTCTCTGATACTAACAAGTTACCATAAATCATAAGATGATTAGCTTAATCAGATTTCTAAACCACTATTATTAAGTATAATGCAATAGAATGCAAAACAAATGAAATATTTTATTATAGTATTACTTGAAAAATAAAACATACATTTAAAAAATTTGAAGTAAAATCTTTATTATATTTTTGTAAAGTAATATATGAGAAAGGGCTGAATGGTTAAGTAAAAATGAAAGTAAAAAATAATAGAGTAGTAGGCTGTTTCAAGAAAAAAATAAAGTATAAATACTTGCTTAGTTAACTATCTAATCATAAACTTATATCTAATGCTAATGTATTTTTTGATATTCCTTTCATAATTGTACTTTCTTAATAGTCCCTCCTAATTCACGAATTTCCATTGCTACATAAAGATACATTTCTTCTAAGTTAAAATTTTTTAAGCTTTAATTTGTCGAAAATTTGTTTGAATTGGGTCCAGACAGTTAATCTAATACCTCTGAATGTTATTGGACCAGAACCTGCAAATATAACGAATTATAGGTTATGAAAACATAAATGGAATATTAATTTCGGTCTCATTTGTTCATTTACTGAAACATATTTGGTGCTATTATTTTGATAGCATGCATGTTATACAAGAGTGTTCATTGAGAGAATACTAAAATAATCATTAGGTTTGAATAATGAGTTATTTACAATGATGTTTTAAATACACAAAATGCAAATATTACTTGGCTGCATTTATGTTTCAATTGAAATTACTAGATATTAATGTTCGTGCATTAGAGAGTCTTCATTGTGGATTTCTAAAGATAATACTTAGGTCAGTATTATGATGCAAAACATATAAATATCCACCTTGAACGGCAATTCGTTACAACTATCCAATATACAACCATATAACAAAATGCAAATGCACTATTTAAAACGTCATCTCTTTGGAATTATTATTTTGTCATCCTTTGATTCAGCTTTTGCTGTCGAATTTGTTCCTAAACCAGACGAAGGCGAATGTTATAATCCTACTCCAGATGTTTTTGATCAAGTAATTAATGCGCTTGTTTCTACACTGATAATTATTCTTTTTGGAGACTAAAATTTAGAAAACTTAACTGAAGAAAAAAAGAAACGAGTTAAAGTTAAACGAATTATCGATGACTTTCTTTATTTGTTATCCATTTACGTTATACCAGGCATAGTACTTTTTAAAAACATAGAGATATATATAATTCCCTCTGGATTCCAATTCTCTTGGTGATTATAGCTGGCATTGTTTTCATCATAATTTTACGAAGTATAAATAAATGGAATAAATTTAACAAAGAATATGGAATTATTGATGAGAAAGCCCATATACATATTGATAACAATCTTATCTGTGAAGAAGATGATTGTTGTCAATCTTATGTGAATTTTGTAGTAAACTCCAGTCTCATAGTCCATTTAGGTCATATCTTTTCTGATATTTGTTTCATATTTTACGCCCAAAATTCCACTAGTCCATTTAAGAATGTTTTCATCTACTTACATATAGTAACCAGAGTTTTAGGAGCGATTTATCTGATTTTTTGGTTTTGTCTCATTATTTGTAACTCCATCCGGAGGAATCAGGGCCAGTGCGTGGGACTAGACGATTATCTACCCTCAAAAACAGAATCAAAATTAAGAAAATTCCTTATTCAATTAACTTGTATTTGGACACCAGTAGTCCAAATGTTAAACATAGCATTCTTGTCTGGAAATGATTATTATTGGACGAAGTTGATATTAACAATTAATGTGATTTATCTTTCAAGGATTATATATTATGTTAACGAAAGTGTAAGAGAAATTAAAGGCAATTATTTATTTAGTATGTTATATGTTAGTTTTATATTTCTTCCGTTCATAGATGTGTAAACTGATAATTGTATAATCTGTTATTTTTTTTTTTAATAAATGATTTTAATCATTGTTTTCTCTTATACGTGTTAAACTAAATACACAGTGTACGTTTTAAAATAAGATACTAATAATATATATTATAATAGACACTGGCGATGAAAATCAAGTAACTAATGTAAATACAGGAACTAGAAAACGGGGGACCGTTGTGAGTCCTGAGCGAATTATTAGACGAAAATCACGTAGCGGACAGAGAAACGTCATGACCAAATTTAATCAATGCACAGAAATATATAGTCCTTCGCTTCGCTCAGGACAATTATCTAATTTGATAAATAATGCAGCCACGTTCAGCTGATCAGTTTTGACTGGCTTTCAGAATAACGTTGAATCATTTCATTCTGGAGAGATCCAATCGAAGCATTATTTGAGGTGAAATCAGCTGTAAATCTGCCAAAATTATTACGGCAGGCTTCTTCGTTAGCACAAAGTCTCGTAGTTACGCTATTGATCATTATTACAATTTTCTGCGCTTCTGTGGCGTAGCTTACATCACGTGAATTGATTTTTTCAGTGATTTTAGTGCCACATGAATATAACGAGTAAAAAAACAGTGGGTATGGCCGAAATGGTATGTACTCAAAGAGCTTTATTATTGGTAGGTCAACGTTTGCTCGTCAGAATTTTTTAAATAATAATAAGTTAGAGACCGCTATCTTTTCACAATTGGAAATAAACCTTTTATACTTATTCCTACCGCGTGGAAAATTTAACTGAATCATACAAGATTGCGTTATTTTTATCTATTCGATTAACGTTTTTCATTAAAAAATCTACCAGTAATCTGCCTTTTTCATTTATTTATTGCGATCTCACACAATGTTGCCAGAACTGTGCTTTATGCATCTTAACCTTAAAGGTTTAATGGACGATCAGATTACATATGTAATTTTATGTGAACTAACGCAGACGGGATATTAAAAATCTCCGATGATTCTACCGCTCAATGCACTTCATCCTCAATTACAGTTTTATGAGAAACAGATCGATGTAAAAAATTGGTACAATAGATGAGCTACTTTATTTGCCCATTTTAACCGTTTCAGGGAAAGAACTATGCGCATAATTTTTTGGCTGTGATACGCTAAAATATATGCCAGAACTGCGAGTGCAACTCAAGTTCTGCGGTCACATTTCTGTGAAATTTATTCACAAATTTTTATTAATACATCAGGTTGCAAGGATTATATGAAATAAAAACAAATAACACATCTACTTCGAGATATAGAAGGACCTTCAAGACGCAAATTTTGTAGCTAAAGAATAAAGTTAAATAAATATTTATTCATTAACCAATAAACTAAAGTATAACTATTCCAATATGTTTTACCTGGAGTAGTCAAAGCTATTGTTTTGCCATACAATAATTCTTGCTCATTTCGTAATAGACCAGTAAAATAAGTTGATAAATGAAAATAACTAACAATTTTAACAGCTCTTGTTGAAGTTTGCTGATAAATATTTAATTCTTTGAAGATATCCCCATAACTAAATTCATTTGGTGAGACATTTATCATTTAAATATGAAGTATTACATCAATTTTTAGAGGCTAAGCTATTATATAACTTACGTAACAATAATTATGAACAATATGAATCAAATTTTCTCACTCCTTTCATTATTTACAAAGGAAAGTTGGAAAATCTAGCAATTTACTGTATATACATTAAAATGAATTCACATGTACACAGAAAAGTTGAAAAATTCAGCAATTTACTGTATATACATTCATATATACCAAATGTACCATACACAAAATGAATGAATTTTATCACAATTTGATTTTTTTGAGTTTTAATAATTTTCAATATGCTACATTTTTTTATTAGTGTTGATGAAGGTCAAAAAACATTATCGGTCAAAAAGTTATTAAAGTTGATTCAAATACAAATACTTTTAAAGAAGTTTATGATGCAATTACAAAAGATCTATTTTTTATGTGAGATATTCATAGAAAAATTGATAATAAATGGATTTATGTTGAAAATGGATTATATGACAAACTTTCTTTAATGTCAAAGTTAGAGTTAAAATATATAAGATTTATTATTCAAATGCTGATAATACTGGTGAAAGTAGCTTGAAGAATCAAATAAATCAACAAGACTCAACAAATATTTTAATATTATGATAGAAAAAGCCTGTCAATCTTATTTTCTTATACTAAAAAGGAAAGATACTTAATATGATCTATTGTATAATAATGTTATTGTATTGTTAAAAAACAGAAAAGTAGCTAGAAAAGCATAGATTTAAAATCATTTGCTAATAAGTTTGTGAAAAAGCTAGTTTTTCTTCTTTGGTATATTGATTCACATAGGAATAAACTTATTGCTTGATCATTAAAATTACCAGATATATTCAATAAATTAGAATAATATTAATGTAATAAATGCTATAATAAATTCTATTTTACTAGGCATCACAAAAAGGAGCAACTTTCACATAAAAAGTTTGAATATTTAGTGAAATCATTAGAATTATCAATAGAATAACTTTAAACAAGTGTAAATAAATGAGTAGATTTTATTATACAAATTCTTTTATTAATCAAAATATTAAAAATACATCAATTATTTACGTAAAGTTAATTAGAAGATGAATGTAATATATAATAATAATTTTTAATATGTAATTCTAGTTGTGATTTAAAAATATATATAATTGAAGTATCAGATAGCATTCATTCAAAATATCAAGAACTTTCTGATTTTTTACGTGAAAAATACTATTATAATTTTTTAATTTTAAGGAGTATACACCTCATAATATAATAAAAAAATATAATTATATCAAATATTTGTAATTTAATATTTTTATAATAATCTATTGATATTATTAGAATAATTATCTTAGTATTATTAACTATAAAGATGGTCACCACAATTAAAAAAAATGGCGCAATTGAGTTGCAACTTGTGGCGTAATTAAATTTCCTTATGGCGCAATTAAGTTGCAACTCAATTGAAATTTGAAAATAATTATGAGAACCATCTTTAATTAACTATATTTAGAAAGTTCTATTAAGGAATAATCACTGATTAGAAAAAGAAAATGCTTGTATGATAGAAGTGATTAATGAAGATTTATCACAATATTATATATGTTAAATATGTAGAAATGCTCTTAAAAAGTAAATTTTTCTATAATTAAATTTTCATAATAAACAAATAAAACTAATATAATTTTTTCAAGTATTCTCTTTTTAAAAAAGTTACTTCAGCTATATTTTGAACTTTATATTTTGATTTGATCAGTGATGCTTCTGTAACAAATAATATAATTAGTAAAAAAATTAAAGAACGTCTATAAATGATAATGTAATTTGAAGATCTATTAATTGTTGTTAATTTGCATGTTAATAATAGATTCAAGAGAAAAGGTTTGATATTTTTTGGAATAAAATGAAAGTATATTTTAATGAAGTAAATACTTTTAATTTTATATAATATATCTTTATTTGAATAAATAAATAATTAACTATTTTTATTATTTACTTAAAAAATATATTTGCAGTTAATGATAGATAATAATAAGAAGTTTTATATATACCAATCATAATTTTAATTTGTAATATTATTATATATCAATTAGAAGTTAAATATAATATATCATTACCATCTAATATTAATATTCCATATAATAAATAGATTCATCTTCAATTTTAACTTATTAATCCTACTACTAGTAAAGCAATATATTATACCGAACAGTTTAATATTAAATATTAAGTTCAAACTTGATAATTATATAAAGATTATTTAGATATATATTACTATGCTTGTTTTTCTATTATCTACGTAAATTTACTATTCTTTATCATAATTATGTTTATTTATTACAGCTGATGATAAATATAAAATTCTAATTGAAGAAGATATAGTTACATCAACTGGTATATGTAATAAGAAAAATTTAGTTAGTGTAAATTTAACATTAATAACAAGTGATTATAATTTTACAAAATTATCATTTACTCTTTTAGTTATTTTTTTCATTAATATTCTAACAACTATTAAAAATTCTTTTTATTATAACAATGTTTTGTTTTATATAAAAATACTATTTTTCAACCTAATATTAGACATACAATTAAATTTTTAATATGATTAAAATGCATTATATTTTTATTATTTTACCTATACTTTGTC